CTTTGTTTAGCTGTTCCTTTGTAGTTAAATATTTTGATCTTTGTTTAGCTGTTCCTTTGTAGTTAAATATTTTGATCTTTGTTTAGCTGTTCCTTTGCAGTTAATTAATATTTTGATCTTTGTTTACCTGCTCCTTTTGAGTTCAATATTTTGATCTTTGATTAGCTGTTCCTTTGTAGTTAAATATTTTGATCTTTGTTTAGCTGTTCCTTTGCAGTTAATTAATATTTTGATCTTTGTTTAGCTATTCCTTTGTAGTTAAATATTTTGATCTTTGTTTAGCTGTTCCTTTGTAGTTAAATATTTTGATCTTTGTTTACCTGCTCCTTTGTAGTTAATTAATATTTTGATCTTAGTTTACCTGCTCCTTTGTAGTTAATTAATATTTTGATCTTTGTTTACCTGCTCCTTTGTAGTTAATTAATATTTTGATCTTTGTTTACCTGCTCCTTTGTAGTTAATTAATATTTTGATCTTTGTTTAGCTGTTCCTTTGGAGTTAAATATTTTGATCTTTGTTTAGCTTGCTACTCCTTTCAAGCCGCTGATGAATGCTCCAAACAAAATGGAACTTATTACAATAAAACTTGTGTCGACAATGAAACATCAATGTATTTGGATCTTCGAGCCATTGTTGAAAATATGGAAAAGAAAACACCAGCCGAAGAATATTTTCTGTGAGTTTGTTTATTTTCGCTTTTCATACTAACTATACGAATATAGAGGGCTGTTGGATCACTTGTGTAATTCTGTGAAAAGTGTGACAGGCAAAAACATGTTTAATTCCGCTTCTAAACAAACATCATCATATAATTAGCTGATTCAGTAATGTGCTAATGGATAAAACAATGGAACTGTCGTCATTTGTAGCTAGAGTTCTGTGTGTCGCACAGAAACAACGTAATACACTAAGAAGCTCCAGCGTAAAGAGCTCACCTAGCTAGAGTCTAGATCTTGTTATCACAAAATCAGGCAACGATGTTTTTCGATTAAATGTGTATAAAGAATTAAATTAACAAAGATTTGATGGAGTTTTTTTTTTTATAGTAAAGATACGTAGAACTACTTAACAGAATATTTCATTAAAGAACTTTTTCAAGGGTACCAGTTATCGAGGTTTTTAAACACCTCTTGTGCTCATTTGATGGTGGGCCTGGCCTATTGGTTAACATTCCGGGCTGCGTATTGTAAGGTTCAAAGATCGAGATGTGATATTTTGTTGAATACGCTCTCCACTCTCACTTATGGGGAAGTTATAACCGTGACAGTCAATCCCACTATTCGTTTAAGGGTAGTCACGAGGCGACTGGGGCTGTTAACATGTTGCCTTTCCTTTTGTCAGTAGTTTTCAATTAGGGTTGAATATGCCTTAACCTTAGGGTTTTTTTTTATACCTGACTGTTAGCCTGTGTATCAATCCGGTTTAAAATACCAAAATATGTTATTCATGTTTGATTCTTCATTTTGAAATGTAAGGCAACAATGAAGATTTTAAAATAACAAGGACAATAATAAATGTGGACTGCCGCCTATCGATTACAATAAATCAAATAATTTTGGAGCATGTGCTTTTCTGTAAATGAAAAATTACAATATATCGTACGTTAACATATATTACACCTTTAAGAAGGAAAGCTGTGTCGTTCGTGTACGACCAACTAGAGTACTGTTGCACATTTTACGGTTTACGACAATGAATGATAACAATATTTACATCACGAAGTACTGAAACTACTAAAAGAAAAAAAAGGGGATGTCAGTGAATAATTGTGTTACGTAGTGAAATGTGTTATTTTTCAAATTAAATATGTACATAATTATGTGTTATAATGTTAAACGTCAAAAGATGGCGATGCATTAGAAACCAATAGTCTTAAAACTTTGTAATAAAAATCACGTTAACTGCACGTGATTTTTTTCTTTCTAAATTCCTCTAAGCTTTTGCGTCTTAGCGTCCAGTTCAACTGACGAATTTCGGCATTGACCGAAAGGCCTCTTTGACAGTGACTTGTGGGAGACAGGAGATGGATTTGAAATGCTATTTTTGGAATCCTCTGGTTTTGAATCCGCAATAGTTAAATTAAAAATAATGAAGAAAAAAATCTGCATTTAACGTGCTTTTTTTTATCACAAAATTTATCAGTAATGTTAGTTTGAATTGAAAAAACTAGTAACCAAGAACAGAGACAGTAATTAAAAATGGGTTCACTCTAAAGAAAGTCAGTACAAAATTTAAACTATAGGAGATTTAGGACAAGGTGATATGATGTAAAGCAAAGCTTTAACTGAAAAGCGTAACGTTTGAAAGATTGTTTAAAAAAAAAAATATTTATCGTGCTACTTGAAATAATTTGCAAGAGATGGCGCCACGCTCAATATACGAAAGATTGTTAAAAAAAAAAATGATCGTGCTACTTGAAACAATTTGCATGAGATGGCGCCACGCTCAATATACGCACAATAAATATATAATAGTAAATCATCACATAAGTAAAATACTTTTATTTTCATAAAGAATAGATACAAATTGAGTGAACTTAGAAATATTTTCGTTTTCCAAATTTGCATGCACATTACACTGCTCTCTTAAACAGTTCATTGTTCAACCTAAAATTACAATATTATATTTTACTAATGGTAAAATATCATTTAAGCCAAGATTCTACAATTAACAAGCTCTAACGCAAGGGGGCGTGTAATGAGGGATAAAAAGAGAAACTTTTTTTTGTTGTTGTTGTCCATATACTGTCTGTTTATTATTCATAATTTAGAACAGAAACTATAGAAATGAATATTTACCAGTTTTCGACTTTCAGACATTACGTCCTGGACATATCGAGTGGTATAGATGACAGTGGTGAGGCTAAATGGTATCTAGTCTTGTGTCTTCTCTTAGCCTGGATTATAGTCTTCGGCTGTTTGTTTAAAGGTGTACAGACGTCAGGCAAGGTACGATTCAGGCACTAAGTTAGTCCTACTGTTAAAGTTAGGCATTTTTCGTGATTATTAATTTTAGAAAAGATTTGATTACTCTATTTTAATATGTTCACACAAAGAGCTGTAGACGTAACGACAGAGTCTATAGACGGACGAAAATATCGACGAAAGCTTTCGTTTTCCATTTATCGCACAAGAATAATTGGTATAAAAAAGCGCGTGTGACACACGAGTTCTTTCCTCCGGTGAGTGAGTGATGAGTTTAAGCACTTAGAACTCGAGTTTCGATTTCCGCAGTGGACAGAGTGTAGCTGTGCTCCAAGAATAAAAACAATCACAAGGTTCCTCCCTATTTTTTGTAATTTTATATTCTAGAACTTTAGCGATTTGAAATATGATCACAAAACGCGCATCCATGCTTTCAGTATACTATAACACCTTCCTTTATAGTCAACTAGCAACGTTACCCGGCGATGCCCGGGTTTTCGAAAAAAACCTACTCTCTGTTTCCCCGTTCTTAATTTCGATAGGTAAAAAATATTTTGTGAATTTATGAAAAAAACAACAACCTTAGGTTTGATTTTTGAAAATATACTACGAACCTGTTTTAATTCAGGCTTCCTTATGAACGATGTTTTTACTGGCAAGGATAAATATGCCCTTATAGAGATTATTTCGGTTATCTTATACACGTATGAGTACCCGTTCTGGTGAACAGGATAGGCCTAGCTCTATTCTTCCCTCGTCATCCTTCTTCAAATATTATAATTTCAAACGTAAATATGTATGTCATATTATGTTGAATTTGCTTTAATGTAAATTTAATATATTTTTATGAATGTCATACCGTATTCACATTATGATATTGATGTATGAAAAATACAACAACAACAAAATACAATATTGTACTTTATAATGTATCAAAAGAAAAAAAACCTATTTCCAGGTATCAAACCACCCGGAGGAAAAAAAAAAAGTAGAATAAAATACATTCGCTGACTTGACTTTAATCTCATTTTACACAATAAGTATTATAATGTAAGCCTTACTCTTTTCACGTAGTTTATTTTATGGCAGACTGCATAATTTTATTTTATAGACTAGGCCTACTGTTTGTTTTTCACACACGACATTCTAATTCAGCATGCATTTCTTTTGTGTGTGAGGTTAAATATATGATGTATTAGTAGATGAATGGTTAATGATCTATAACTAAATAGGTCTCTAATGCTATATTCTAACTTAAATGTTAATTCAAACTTACCAAAAAATGTCAGATCTGCGTAGAACTTATTCGTGTAATGTATATGTTAACGATAAAATTACCGGTTCGGCTAGCAGATGATAGACTCGTGTATCAATGAAAAATTTTCATTTTGCGCACCTTCACATGAGAGAAGTGTGACCTGCGCAGTGAACGCGTCGGACAAACCAGAAAACAAGCAAACAAACAAACAAACAAAGAGATTTTGAGTTTTATATATATATATTACATAAATAAAATACTGTCTAAGAACTAGGGTAGCTAACTGATGCCCGGTGTGTTTTAGTCTTTATAAGGCTTAGAGTTCTGATTTAATGATTATTTATAACATTAAGTACGTTTCGATAGTTTGTTAGACTGGATATATACACATATAATGTTAAATTAGTTTAGTTCTAATATATATATATACTACATGTACTTGCACTGGGTCCCCGATAGTGTTCTGTTTCAAGAGTAAATAAAACTAAATTTAAGTGTAACAAATATTTTTATTTACTGCTTTTAAAGTGCCATGCTGTGTTGTAGCCTACAGAGTGCATACTTTTTCTCGTGATTCATGGCATGCGCATGTTTTACTGATGTCAGGACAGTACAAATTGCAACGTTAAGCGTCCCTTATGTGACGTCATTTTAGTGTCTACTGACTGACTGACAGACAACATACTAATGCATAGGGGTGTGAACGTGAGTACAAAGTGAACTGCTATTGTTGGGCGCGACTCTGGCGGGATTTGTTACTGAGCTGAACGTGAACCCACTATGACAGTACAACAAACACTTAACAGCCATTCTAGAGCAACATTAGAGCATGCCCAACAAAGGCCATGAAGGAACTGTCGTTTAGTTATATGGTACTGATGTGGCTGTGAAGAACTGGTGTGAGAGACAAAGTTCAATATATATATATATGAAGTGAGGAGAACTATTGGCCAGTGTCAGGGTTTTATGTATATTTGTGGATTGGGGATTCTTCTACAGTAGGTGTCTGTGACTTGTTGGCGATAAATTCGAAGAATAAATGGACAGCACACAATCCACTTGTTATAAAATAATATATTCAAAACAAGTCAAACATATGTACAAAAATTCATTATACCATTGTTTATCACTGCTGAATCTAAAACTTTAAATAATCAACTTTTTCGTCAAAAGCCCACATAGGTTGGTTCGATTAATTTAGAACCAAATTGACAAGACGAATTATTTCTTCTCTCCTATGTTATCACACTACAATCAGTGATAAATTCACTTACGTTACCCTGTGGGTTATCACCATTGTATCCAGAGCTTTAAATATTTCTCTTTTACGTCAAAAGTCCACACACGCTGGTTCATTACTCTAGAACTGAACTGACAAGCTGAATTATTCTTCTATATCTCTGTTGTTACAATACAAGCTGAGAAACTCAGCTTAGAAATCGACCATCACGTCTGAACTCACATGCTAGCTAACTGCACTTTTTCTTTCACTTTCACTCACTAATTTTCTGACTGAACTACACTTGACTTGCACTCGCTTGGTCGCCTGTATATATGTATTGTTCACTGAGGCCTCGAACTTTCTCTAAATTACGCGAGCGGCGCTGTATGGTAACAATACTCACTTGAGGTAACGAGAAAAATACTGAAGATTCGAGTAACGTGACGTCAACAGTATAAGTAAAGCTCAGACAACAATATAACTGCAAACACAACTACGACTCGTACAGAGTTACGTAACGAAATTTGTCATAACTAACACTTTTAAAACAATCAATCTTCAACTCTCCTGTCATGAAAACTAAACAATCGTTAAATATTAAGTCAGCAAAGTCCTACCTCAATAAACTCTGAAACCACAAGCTGTATTACTGCACAATGTCAGTCTTCAGAAGGAACTTACCGGATCTGAACCAACGAAAAACGTAATGAAATATTGTGAAAATAATTATCTGTGCTCTAGAGAGTACTCAATGGTCATTGAGACATCAGACGAGCTCAAAAATATTCTCTTTTGCGAAAAAACAGAGGGAAGAAGGTCTTCCACCAACGTCTCAGACTTCAAATAAGGCACGCGTACGAAGTTAAATACTGAAGGCCATCCAGAACAGACCAACCACATCAATGCGAGGATGTCTAGGAAGAAAGAGATCGAGTCATTAGTCTAACACTCATGACAAAGGATGTTGTTTCAAGTACTTTCTCCCAAGTGTAAGACACCATTCCGTCGATCTTAGAATATGCTCACTTGTATCCAAAATTTAGATGACTCAGAAAAATATCCTGGCTGTGAAGCTTGAATAAAGTAATGGATTATGATATGTAATTA